CGTTAGAGGTCAAACAACATGAATATTGCTATCTTTTCTATTTAGCGACGAATTCGAAGACTTACATTCTTGATCCAAGGCATATACATAAGACCTGAAGGAAGTAATAACGCACGCTGAGCACGCAATAAACGGTTGTTGACTTCCCTAACGCGACTGAACTCGAGTTCTTGATCAGAAATCACGTTCATTTCGCGACTGACGCTCACAGCAGCCGCTTCAAATGCAGATGTAGCGTCGTGCAGCCGTTTGACAGACACGACATGCGTGAGATCTGCGCGATCAAGTGCTTCCTCCAAAAGAGCCTGACCGCGGCGAAGTTCGCGCGATAATTCAGTAAAGTCGTACTGCAGGAATTGAGCATCTGTGAAAGACAAGAGAATACTACCATAGAGCTCAGCTGCTGCACGATGAAAAGTAAACTGTGGATCAGCGAAATGAGAAATCCACGCGGAAATGTCGGCACTTGTGTCTTTCACGCCATAGTAGCCGCCATCAAAGCCAAGCTCAAGCGACGGAATACCTAGCCGTCCGAGAAATGGCGAGATACGCCCGCCCAAATTACGGTCCATAGGTGGTAACTCAAACTCAATGCCATTTGACATTTTCTTGTTTGCCTCTTCAAGCCAGTAAGCAAAGACAGAGTTACTTTTGCCTTCAGGAAGCTTGGTGCTTGAGAATGTCGCATTGATGGGCAAAATATCAAGGTCGTCTTCGTCTTTGCTTGCGCTTCCGGTAACAACAGCTGAAGTTGAAGAGTTGGAAGCATTAGCGAAGTAAAAAGTATTGACAGCAGGATAACTTTGCTCTTTGGGTTGCGCAACGGCCGCAGTCATGAGGTATATATTCTTTCGAATCGTTGCACTGGCTTTGCAGCGAAGTGCGCCAGCGCCACGGACCACATCGTCGAGATGCAGATACACCACGCCACGTCCCGAGTTGGCATTTTCAAATGCTGAAAAGCGGTCAATCCAGTGCGAGCTTCCAACAGATCCAAATTGCTCACCACCAAATGAAGCAAGAACTAGCGTCCGATAAGGGGTCCATCCATTAGACAAGAGTAATCCCAAAGCTCGGATAATTTCAAGAAACACAGCGTTCCCAGAGCCTGGACTGACAGCACCTGCATTAAGTGAGTCACGTGGAGCACCGACCAGAACGATGCGGTCTGATTCACGAGAGCCATGTACAGTGATGACCACGTTCCACGTCGTGATTAATGAGTAGACATTATGATTTGTCATCTTAACAACGACTCCCACAAAGTCAACGCCTACAGGAAGTTTATATTCTACACCAAGACCCCCACCCTCCCATCGAGATCTAAAGACGTCCGCGGCGCTGATCGTATCTACTTCATTCGAAGCGCTTTCAATCTTAGAAAGCAAATCTTGTGCAACCACGGCGCTAATGGGCATACTAACGATTGGCGGAAGGATATTGAAAGTATTGTTAATCGAGTAAACGTCATCAACCGAAAGACGATCTCCCGAGAAGCTTTCAGGCATTGTTGGATCTCCGTCTCCCATGTAAACGCTTCCGAAACTTGTCGTAGAGCTGGGTCGCCATGGTCCGTCAGGTGCTGTAGGTCCTCGACCAGATCCATCGTCAGCAGGGTCACTGGAGCAACAAACAAGAAATCGTAAGATTCGAGGTATGACTTAAGCACATAAACAGATGTACGTGTAGGTGAGCACGCCGACAGCTCCAAATTTAGAGGCGATTATCACTTTAGCAGCTAGCGAGACATCGCCACCCATGCGAACCAAAACAATTTTACCAACCACAACCACATTGTTTGATGCTAAAGCTTTATAATCGTCCGATGATCCAAAATGAGCATATACAACTGGTCCAGAAACCGTGCCATTCTTTGAGTACAAGTGAAACGATGCGTAAGGTTTCGTCACATTTTTGCCTTTTGCCTGCTTGGCTAGTCGAGCTGCGTGCTCAGCAATGAAATCGTAAGATGCCAATGATTTGTTGTTTGGCATTTGAACAATGTCAAGAGTCAAAGTCTCTGGTACATTGACAAGCATTTCGAACTCGTCAATCTTTGAGTGACTTTCTTCAAACCCAAAATCGATGGCACTCGAGCGTATAAAATTTGCCATCTCATAGTCACCGCTACTACCAGTATGCCGGACAGTCTATTGTGATGCAATTATTCAAAATTGAAGAAATTGTAAATTGCATCCACCGAACGTACATTTGTATATAGCTCAAGATTCTTTTTGAAACCATCGGCTGAAGTTGCAGCAATAAAATGGTGCTGAATAGCTGGCGTTGAGCTGCAAAATGTAGCAAAGAGTAAGTAAGTATTGTTGTTAGCTAACCCCATCAGTTGTTTTAAAATACCCGTAATTTTCTTCGTGCCCAAGGATACTCAAGAGCATGACGCAAATTGCGCTAGCAAGAACAAGTACCAGCACAAACGCGATGCCTACACGTTGGCGAAGCACAATTTCCGTTTCGGTGATGCCTTCGCTCAGGTGAGTTTCACGTGGACTATCAGCATATACGTTAGATCTTGTCAATGGTACCTTAGACTCGTCGACATTGCGATCACTGCTATCAAGATCCAGATCAGGAAGCACTTTGAGTGCGTCGCCCTTAAGAATGCCCACTCTATCGTTTGAAGAGCCCATAAAAAAACTTGTTAATGTTGCTGCCGGCGAAGTGTGTGCGATTATTTAAGCACTGAGCACATTGACCAAATTTTTCATGCTTAGTTTGAAACCACGCCTTATTACTATCTTCGGTCATGCTATTTTTAAGCATTGTTTGACGCAGCAATCACGCATTGAGATGAACTCGCCAAAATTTCTTGCCCTTGTGCTAAATTCGTTAAATCACTTTTTAATAAAATGAGGCTTGAAGAAATCAAACCAACAAGTACTTCGGACAACTCACATATTCACACTCAGCTAATTTAAGCTGTACTTTTATTATTATGCTTGTACTCATAATACATAGAACCTATACTTCGCTATCATGTCTTTAACGCTTGCTTGCAACATCATAGGGATCTCGTCGTCTTTTGTTTATTAGCTTTCTGATCATGTTTCTTCCATCAAAACACTCACTCTCATCGCTGCTTCTTAACTGAAACAACTGATACTTCGCACTTTCTTTTTTGTCAAACTCTCAAATAAGTCGTTAGTCCGACGAGCACACTCAGCCACGATAGCATCAAAAAAGGCCATACTCATCCTTTCCTCCAATTTGGAAATGCTCTTCTCTACGACCGCTTGTGCCTCTATAATGATCACTTCTAGCTGTGAAGGCGATGAATAGTCACCATCACGCTGCAGTAGACTACCGATCTCAAATAATGAGAAGCCAGCCTCGGCACCCCGCTTTAATACACCCGTACATACACGCATTGTTGTGACACACACTTCCTCGATTCCAACAGCACGCAATACAGTGGCATCGCGCGCTTCGTCCAGCGATGCGATGTGGTTGAGCTCATCACATGTAAACGGAAACTCAGCTTGAGGCCATTGCAGCCAATCGAAAGTCGCATTGTCCAGGTGCTGGTAGGAAGGGAGACAAAACCCATGGTCAATCGGCGTCATGGCGAATGTCTGATCATTAGGCCGTGCATTCAGTAAAATATTGCCGGCGTGGCGGTCCGTATTAAAAAGACGGACGTCTAGAATTCCAATTTTGTGAACTTCAGGGATCGCAAAGTTGAGGGTACCCATGTCGTCAGCCGAACACTGGGAAGCTATAAAGCGCTGCATCGAGCCTTCTTTTTCTACACCATTTACATTCAAAACCATTACATTGGTCTCAGGCACACCACTAAAGTTGCCATAGGCGCTGTCCAGCAAATAGGCGGCACGTTCACGAAATGCTCCGTTACCCACTCGAAATCCTTTGTTTACCGGATGCTCAGTCACGCCTACCACTGCATTTTCCTTGACGTATCCTCGCGGGTTATTTGGGGCCATGTACTCTTCATCTCTGGGCTTGAAGATTCCAATAGGGGCGACCAATTCACTCGAGCACGACAAAATCGTTTCCATTGTCAAAAAGTACGCTCCACCACATCCCTCGCTTGTCATCTGAAACGTGCATTTCGAATCTGAGACCATGCACAGTACCTGCTTGGCAAACTGCTCAGACGCCTCAGTCGTGAGCCATTTCGCGTCCAGACCACTCAACACTTTAGGCTCCGGAAAAAAATTGTCCTCAGTCTGCTTCACGTTGTTGTTATACTCAGAGGGCAGCGGTGACAGGCGAAGCTGCACAATTGGGCACAGCTTGGTTACTACTGTCTGCTGAAGCAGGCCTTTAGCATGTAACATGGCTGATCCATGTAATCGCAAGCGATTAAAGCGAGTTGAGTTTTTTTTACGTTCATTAGCGACAGAGTTTGTCGCCATCATAAGATTTCGCTTCCCTTGAATTCCATTTTCAGCCTTCGCGCGAAACCAGTCAACAGCGCCCATGCTCTCTCTGTGCTTGAGCTCTTGAGGGATTCGTGACGCGGAAACGCCGACGATATAACTTGTAGACGCAGCAGAAAAAGACTATCAGAGAGAGAAAGACAAGAAAGACAAGAAATGCCTCTCGGAGGCAGAGAGTTAGGACGGAGACGAAGGCTTAGCTTCAATGCGGAGGTGCAAATTGTAAAATGGTGTCGCATAAGTGGGCTGCAACAAAAAAGCCAGCGCACCATATGCATTGTTACGAAACCGAATATAGGTGAGCAGAAAATTATAAATTATATTGGAAAGATAGCAAATTTGAGCAATGATCCGACACCCACATCGAGGTTTTTCCCACACAGAAGAAAACAATCGAGTATATAACTAGAGACAATGGATATAACGTCTAGTCATATGGGAAGGTTCGTTCAACTTTACAATCGAGATGCAAGCTTTGTCGGCGGTGCCAAAGACGGTTGTACTATCCGAATCAATGTGTGAGAAAAAGCAGGACGGTAACGATGGCGCAACAACGTCATTAGACCGTATCAAAAACGAATTCGCAACGTTTCTACTTTTCAACATAGACGTCACCGCAGGATCCTTTCCTCTGTTAATACGCGACCGTCCCAAGGTGCCATGACCTGACCTCCTCAGGTCATTAAGAAAGCCTTGCACATGGATTGCATAGCTTATACAGGTCGACTGTACTTCAACATGCACACAAATGCAGAACAAAAATAATCAGAAAAAATAATTAGGCCAGCAATATATCCTTATCCTTTGAAATAAATTTGCTAATAGTTACCATTGTAGACTGTTGTTTTTGTTTCTAGAAACATCGCGAAGGGAAAATATTGTGACCAGTGGTGCGGCACGATAGTGTATCAAGATTAGTAGAGACTGATATTGTACCTCACTACCAATACGAATTATTACTAATGGCCACAGCAGATATTGGCATACCAAAATTAGTACTAGAATTCGAAAAGGAAATTTTTTCTCCATCCAAAAATACAACTGTCATAATGCCTCAAATTTAGCAATTACAAT